CCCCACCATGCCTTCCCCGGGGGTGAACGCAGAGGCAGGAGCTGCCCCCCCCGCCCCACAGGAGCTGCTGTCTCCATCCAGTGTTGCTCCCTGTCCCCCTCTGGCTGGGCAGCACCTGCCCCAACCCCACTCCCTGCCTCACTGTAGGGACTTCCATCTGTCCCCACCACACCCCTTCCCACCCCGTGCCTCTTACCTCCGCAGACTTACTGGCCGGGCACTGCTCTCCAAACTGCTGGGCTGCATATTGGCCATCGGATCAGTATCGGCCAATATGGCTGGTCAATAATAGGCCCAAAAATTTTTTTGGTGCATCCTTACTAAATACGTACATATTTTGGCTGTAGGGACTTCCATCTGTCCCCACCACACCCCTTCCCACCCCGTGCCTCTTACCTCCGCAGACTTACTGGCCGGGCACTGCTCTCCAAACTGCTGGGCTGCATATTGGCCATCGGATCAGTATCGGCCAATATGGCTGGTCAATAATAGGCCCAAAAATTTTTTTGGTGCATCCTTACTAAATACGTACATATTTTGGCGTTTGATTTTTCTATCATAGAAAAATCAGAGCTCTCCCAGCCCTTCACTTACCAGGATGATAGTCCAGCTGCAGCTGTTCCCCCCACTGCTTTGTGCTTGCTGCACAGCTGCTCTCCACCATATGGCCTCGCTGCTGCATGCATGTGCGCGCAAGCTCATGCACGTGGCCCCCCCTGTGTCTTGCTTCCCCCCCCCCCAGCTCCAAGCATCTCCTTGCAGGCTGGAACTCTGACAGCCTGCAAGGGGAAACCTGTGGTTTCCCAAGTTTTTCTCCTTTAAAGGAGAAAACCAGCATTTTTCCATACAAAATGGAAAACCCAGACCCCTGCTGATGACCCTTTCAGCCTTAAAGTCCTATTTAACCTATTCTTTCATTCATAGGCAAAACAGCCATTTCCTCATTAAAAAATGTGGCAACTATATACAAATTATAAAAAAGTTGAGAAAACCCATTTTATATATTTGGCTTTAATACTAACAAGAAATGCTTGTTTCAACATGCAATGTGTCTCTGAAAAATTGTTATAATTGTTTTAAAAAGAGTAACACAGTAATACAAACAATCAGGCAGCACTCTAACTAACCACATTCATTTTTTCTCGTTTAATTGCCAGTAACAGCATTTATTTCTTCAGTTGCTGTCCTAAAAATACAGCCCTTACAGCATTTCCTGAAGATGATCATATTCTGGTTGTTTTGGACTAATATAGTGTATTGTAAAGGTAACTGGATAGGACAGAACATCTGCAGTCCTCCTTCATATCAAGGCTCCAGTGCTTCTGGTGATGCACTGGCCCTATCTGATAGGAAGAAAGAGATTTCCCACTGAAAAGGGAAGATTTCATAGAATGACACTTCGAAAGACGAGTATCAAGAGGGAATTGTTGAATGGCCTGTAGCAAAACACGAAGGTTACCAAACAGGGAAACACAACTGAGAATCTATTATTCATTGTCTGCAGACTGATTAATTGGTAGAAAATTACTTGCAATCAACGGAAAGCTCTTTTAATAGTTAGCTGCTTTCTCTAACCTGCCAACACCCTCTCCAGCTTATTTGTGTACCAGTTAATTTTCCTTCACCAGTGACCTCACTCAAACTTCCTTGCTGGCAAATCAAATACATGACTTCTAAGCAAGAACAGGATCAACTTGCATTTAAGATCAAATACGAGGTTGGTGTGTTATTACCCTGAAAACTTATATACACAGTTCTCCAAACTGACCAGCTAGGACCACCAACTGTGCCACAAACATACAAGTAGCAATTTTAACTCTAAAATGAAAAGATACTGATGAGAAAATACTACCTCCTGCTTCTGGTGAAAAGACTCTAGCTCCACGATCATCAAGCGGAGGCATGGTTTTCTTTTGGAAATAAGGAGTTTCTTTTACCTGAAATAATTTAAATGAAATTATGCAGAGATGTTTCATGGAAGTTAATAAGTGATAAGATGCACACACAAAAAATGGATTTTATTAGAATAGCTGCAACCCAAAGCTAACAAAACTGATCATAATTAGTTATATTTTTTATAAATGACACCGCTAATGGTCAAGTGCACACAATGATCTGAAAGTCAGTGAACTTACTACACCAGGAAATATTAATTGTATGGTGCTAAATAGACAAAAAATGCCTTAAAGTACTTAAATTCAGGGGCGACGCCAGTCTCCTCCCGATGGGGAGGTTGGGCCGGGCCGGGCCGGGCCAGGCCAGGCCAGGCAGTTTGCCTTAGCCTCCATGTGGCTCTCCCTCCCAGCACTGCCACTCGCCTCATGCAGCTGAGCCCGCTCCACCCTTGCCTGCTCTGAGCCCAGCCCCAGGATAGGGAAGAGGCTGGTGCCGCCCCTGCTGGGAGTGCCACACCTTTGTGGGCTCACTTGCGCAGGGCAGGCAGGCCCAAGCCCCTCTTCCCCATGCCGCCCCTGCTTAAATTGTAAATAAAAGTAAAATAAATGGTGGGTGATGATAAAAGGAATTAAGAGCATGAGGATTACAGCAATAAAAAACAAAAAACTTGTCAGAAACATTTTATGCAGTTATATCTTGTCAGTTCCCTTTGCTTTTGTCTTTATTGTGCAATGGTTTTAGTTTGTCATTATTGTTATTTAACAGGTCTGATGGACCAAACATTGTTAGAATAATAGATATTAGAGCAAGATCCATATAGCAAAGTCAATGAATCATGAGTAGGGAGCTGAAGGAGGAATGAAGCTACCTGTCTCTGAGGCTCACAAGTGATACTCTATGCACCACTAGGAATAGGTAGGAGAATTGGAGAATGCAGGCTCGGAAACAAAGAAAGAATTAATCACAAACAGTATCTAGAGCCTTAGAGGAAAAATAAGGGGAGTCAGAATTTGATGCAGAGAATTTAGAAATAAGTTAAAATGTAAAGATTACAGATACAAACAACTGATTTAGATGCCAAATGCTGGACAGAAGAGTAATGAGTCAGATAATACAGTTTCTGTTACGACGATGCCATTTTAAATATCCATGATTCATTACTTATATTAGAACTTAGAAGCCTCACTTGGGATTAGGGCCCCACCATGCAACTCCTAGGAGAAACAAAGAAGATTGGGTAGGGGTAGGGTTCTTTATGTTAATTTTGAGCTGGCAGCTTGACATGCATGTATACTTTGTATAGTTTTCAGGGGGAGGGAAGCAAGTTGGAATGTATAGAGGTGGGTTTGGAAATCATCCAGTAGTAATGTGACAGGAAGCTGTAAGAGAATAAACACACCCAGGAAGCAGGTGCAGTCAAAGAATGGGGCCTGATGACTTCTCTTTGGTGAATAAGGAAAATTCTTTAGACAGCATTTCCTGAGGAAGGCCTAGAAACCGTCACTGCTAAGAGGAGGAAGTGATAGGCTATCAGTAGAGCTAGCATAAGGACCTGAAAGTAGCTCTTGATCTATTACTGGCCAATGAAAGAATTCCTGTGGAGCACAGGGAAAACAGATAGCAGAGGACCTACAAAGAAACAGAGGACAGAAAACTGAGGCAACAGAAACAGGCAATAGAGACGATAGTGGAATAGGAGAAGGAAGATGCTGCAATAGTTATTTCATGTAGGAAGTAAATTGGAAGTGAGAGAAGGATTTTGGAGGATGAGAAGATGCGGGAAATGAGAAAATGCCCATAAGATTATGCCAATTTTAGTATAAAATACCACTGCCAGCTGCAAGTTCTATCGCTCTGGAGCGCAAAATAACAGCACATATATATGAGTTATACCAACTTAAGGCATAGGCTTTCTAGTTTGAATTTACTATTCTTTGCTTAAGGTTCATTTAAATGAAGGAGCACCCTTCTAAAAAGCTTATCACAGCTTGTCTAAAAAAACAAATAAAGTATACTGCCTCAGAAATTAAGACAATTAAAAATTTTAGTATCCTATTTGGTGCATCTCCAAACTGTAGATCTCCAAATTGATTTGGATAAGAATAAAAAAAGGCTACTAGAATACTGAATCTGATGGTGAAGTTTTGCCATTACACAATCTGAAGATACATCTTCATTTTTATTCTAACCCACGTAAATAACTGCCATGTACATACCTGAAATATTTCATTGATATCCACTGGGAGAGCAAGCCCAATGTAATCATCAGAGCTACCATATGTAGCATTAGATACCATGGAGCGAACAGAAGAGGAACGCTGCAGTGTGTTTTGGTTAATAGGACTCAATAAATCTTCTTTATCTAGTGAAGCATAACTTAAAGCTTTCATGAACCTATAAGACAGAAGGGAAAAAAGACAAAACTGACAATTATGCATTTCTGCATCTTACAAACAAGAAGAGCTGATAGTGCTGTATATTAAGGTTGTCCAACACTTCCCATTTCAGGACCCTGTTTTTATTTTATAACCTTGCCACATTTTAACCATTTGAGATTGCAGTTCTTCATCCCAAATATCTGCCACAGGCTGATCAGGTATCAGGTTGATCCCCGATTAGAACACTTCAGGCAAAACAATTCAGCTGTTTCTGAGAATGAGGCAAAGGAGAAACACATTTTCATGATATTAAATTTAAAAAAAATCTTCAGTTCCCCAATGTGTTTGAAAAAGGATTTGATAACTGGCAGAAGGAAATCTTGTATACGAAGGCTAAGTTTTAGCCTATGTGAAAATGCACCCCAAATCTGGCTAAGTTAAAAGTCTGAAAAATTACAGTTCACACATTCTTGGTAGAAACATCTGAGATGTTAGTACCTAAATTTGCAAATATTTCCATCCATGCTGGGCTTGCTTAGACCTGAGATTGAGCAAGACTCTCCTTTGCTTTTGCGGTGGCTGCTACGGACTATGTCAGGTCTAGGTGCAGCCACTAGGACTCAAGAGCAGAGAAACTACTTCTCTTGGGATCAAAGTGACCTACTTACTAGGCTAGGCCCAAGGCAGCATAGAAGAACACTGCCCAATCTGAATGCAAAAGCAACTAGAATGGTTCTTCACTTCTTTTTATGTGGCTCCTTGGGACAAGGAGCCTGGAAGACAGAGGGGAAAATTCAGATAAAGGGTTGGAGAGGAGGGGAGAAAATGGGACTGTCTGGGTGAGGGACTAGAAATAAGAATCATTAGAGTGGGAGCAGAGAAAAGAAACAAAGCAGATGTCAGCATGCAGAGGAAGAATTGGCATAGACTGGACAAAGAGTGGGAGAAAGGTCTAGGAAGATAGGGGAGCATGAGACAGAATGAGAAGTCCTGGGGATGGATGTGGGGACAAGAGAGATCGGACTGAGACGCAATCGATTCAGACAGAAAGGAAACAAAACTAAATGGAAACCTTGAGTTCTGGCCTCCCACAGTTTTATGTCCCTTTAGTGTTGGTCCAAAAGAAGACAACAATCTGCACTACTATCAGTTACTGCACTACCTCCAATGGCAAAGTGGCAGAATGGATCACACTGTTCCTAATATTCTGATCCATGCAAGTACTAATATACCATAAAATGGAACTCCTTCTTCCTCAAACCCTGGAAACTACACAGTATAGGCTAAAGGAAAATTAAGGTTATAAAGTTAAGCTACAGAAAAGTCAGGAAATGCCAAAATTATGGTTTCCTCTGCTCCACTGCTTCAGTCCTTTTGTGCTTATGTATTCAGATACAGTCTGAGATTAAAAGGAATTGTTCATGTTTGCTGATGTATTACTCCACATAATACTGCTTAAATGAAAAACCTGAATACAGAATTGGAAAGACACACAATAGTATTTATTTTCTAAAATCTTCATACCAACAAGTAGTGAAGAATCCAGAATTAAAATTCATCCTATGCACTTACTCTTCAACAACTACTTCTGCAATGACTGAACAGGGACTAAACAGTTATAATATTTTAAGAGACTATTTGCCATTATTACCCCCATTTACAACAGTAGAATTCAGAACTAATATTGATTTCTATTTAGAAGCATTTTTTTCAAGGTACATCTGATAGATATAATGACAGTGTAGGTAAACAATGATGAGATTTTCATAAAAACCGCTCTGTAGCGAGAGGTATGGGCTCTGATGATAATCTGGAAAGATGGTAAGTAATCAGAATGTTAATTAAAATTTTGGACATCTGAGCAGATTTCAAGTTAAATTTTATGAATATATGAATGTACTCAATCATAAAAAACATGATTAATAAAACTGTGACAAATTTAATTTCCTAAATTCATGTTTGGCAATTAAATAAATCAGCCTGATTTTCTTTAAGTAAAAAGCAGCCAGAAGTTTTCATGTAAATTAATGGAAGCTGCTGGGTCCTCAAAAGGTCTGAATTTGTGACCAGACAAAGAATCACAGAAGATCAATGTGAAGACCGACAGTCTTTTCACAGCAGTTAGATTTTTATGCTATTTTGGTTTCTAGCCTTATAGAAAAATTGGATTTGAATAACTCAGTGTGGCAGAATATTAAATTATCTTCAATTTTATTACTGAAGTACAACAGAGGAGAATAATTTAGCTGTAAGTGATATCACAGTATAATTATATGGAATATAATTGTTCTGAAACAGGGTGAAAAAGGCAGGCAGCTAAACCATAATGTTCTCAATTAATTATCCCAGTACAGTAATTAAGAATACCCTCTACAATCTTTATTTTCACATTTGTTAGGAAAGGGTGGATCAAACTCATCTATATAATAATATAATGTAATTTGACAAAGTTCACACAAATGAATCTACCATTATGTTATAAAATGCTTTCATACAGAAAACCCACAAAAGGAGTGGAAGAACATGCAAGATTACACACACATCCCCTTTTATACATGTAACGTATTTTACACGTACATATTTTCTATTCTAATATTCCTTCCAATCTACACACACACACACACACACACACACACACACATCTAACGCAGATACTTGCATCAAAGTTCCCTTTTGTTGCATATATAAAATAAGCCATTTGAGCCATACTTTTTAGAATGTTGTATGCACAAAGTATGAAGTGCGCTCCATATATAAGCAAACAAATACGTATGCTTTTTTCTACTTGCATATAGTGTTGACATCCATATACAGAATTGAATCTGTACCTTTGACTACCACTCATCCTTCCTCCTTCCCACTAGTCTTTCTACAAAAACTATTCTAATATTTCAAAGCTGTCTAAGAAGCCCATAAAAGTCTTTTTTTCTCCCCAGGTTACACTGCATGTACTACATGCTGAAAAAATGCGTGTGGTTGTCAGAGTGGTGTTGAAGTGACAGTACCAAAACAGATCCCGAGACTATCCCTAGGTATGCTCCAAAAAGCAAATGCACATGGTTTCTTCTGCATGTGATGAATGATATCAGGATCACCGAGGAGATAATTCTAGACATATCCCAAATCCCTTTTTCCATTGGTGCTTGGCTGTAAACCTTAGTACGTGGTAACATACTGGATCCTCAAATTGTGACTTCATGTTTGTTAGTATAGCTACTTTAGACCATTTTTAGAAGTTGTGATATTGGACAATCCACTTGGCCCCTGACAAACAAGTTTACTGTTGCTGGCAAAAATATGAACTCTGACTTCCACATAACCTATGATTTCAATAAAAAAAAAAATCCTAGTTTTTGTTATGAAACTGACACTGAATGTGAACAACAGTTAAAACCATACCATTGTATTGAGTCATTAGGAAGACATCTCTCATACCTGTTTTGGGTAATCAGATGGGCCCCTCTGTTGCCTCACAAACAGTGGTACTTACACTTAGTGTCACTGTGAAGTGCAAGGGTACTATTAACCCCATTTACATATGAAAAAATGAATGCACTGAGAAACTAAAGGTTACACAGGAAACCTACAGCAGACCAGACCTAGGTTTCCTGTGATAAAAGTTAATTCCACTCTTTGTGTGGCAAACAGAATGAGAATAAAGGAACATGACTGATTTTTCCTGGCTCCTACTCAGAATACTGAAACTATCAAGTATATCACTTTCACGCTTTTTGGGAAAGCAATGAGCAATGAGGCAAGCAGTTTTCATGGTGAACTCAAAAAGGACAGCAAAAGCAGCAAAATGTCTAGCCCACTGGTGTGCAGCATCTACAGGACTCTAAAGAACAAGCACACCTCTCACCTTTCCTTCACATCAGCTAGTATACTTAGAGAGGGACAAATCAAGAGAAAATAAATCTCTTCCCCCTTTCAATTAGACATCTGCTAGCTAAGATTGACATGAAAGAAAAGCATGAAAAAGTATGAAGAAATGAAAGTTAGGGTGTGCTAGGATTTTTTTTTTGCAGTTGGCATTTTGGCTTCATAACTAGCAAAACTGTCAATGTCACTTGCCAGGTATCTCATAAGTCATCTAATCAGTGTATGAAAAGACGTAACATTTTCAGTGATAAAGGAGAAGCCACGGACAGCATCTAGAAATGACCCCTATGCATGAAATCTTAGGCCCACTGAAGTCAATGGCAAAATCCCATTGATGATGGCACCAGGATTTCACACAACGTTTCTCCTCTCACTGGCTTTACACAATTAGGCTGGACAAAAGTAGTACTCCCAATACATGTTCTAAAATCTCAGTAGGACATACAGATAGAAACGAACAGAGAACACTTGGTCTGTTCTCACTAGATATTGCTAGACACAAAGTTCAGACTAATCAGCACAATTTCAATTGTGGTAATATGAAAGTAATAAAAAAGCTAAAACAGAAAACATGCATATAAGAAGAGATCCTGCGACTGTTCTAGCCATCAGAGCAGAACTTAGGATGGCTAATGTGGGCTCCTGTAATGACAATTAGGAAATTAACATTTTTGATTGAGGTGTTATTTCTCTAACAGCTGTACTGTTTTCAAGGAAAACTGGGACCCCTAGGCACTAATCATCACCTGCCTTTATTGGAAAGCTATACTTTGCTATTAAACTCATGAAGGAATAAGCTATTGAGGCTTCTTACCTGCTTGGGGTTAGCCGAGAATCCAAGCTGCCAGACTTCATGGTAATAGTGTCAGTGAATAGCACATCCTTTGCTGGAGATGCTAGGGCTTCTGAATGGGACAGCGAGGGGTGCATCCTCTGTTGCTGTAAGCGTTTCAGTGTGGCATAGCCAAAGGCATCTCGAGAACTTGTGTAGCTAAAGTTATAGTCAGCAAGACTTTTTATTGTAGCAAGGGAAGGAGCTTTAAGGGATTGAGCTCTTCGAGGAAGGGTGTGAGAAAATCCTGGTGGTACCAGGGATACAGAGTTTGATTTTGAAAGAGGCAGGTGGTTAGACTGTGGTGTTGAACAGTGACTTGTTTTAACTGTTTTTGTACTTACCACAGTACTCAAACTTCCATAGTCAGTGTCTACGTTTGTAGTGTCCACACCCACAGTCTCCCTTGAAGGACTTGAGCTCATTGAGCTTATGCCACTTGTTGTGGTATCTGTATTAAAACTTAAGCTACGACTCTTGAAGTGTGTTTGTGTTGAACCATCTCCTATTAATCTCTCTCTGCTTGTGTTTTCCCTGTGATTTTCATTTCCAAGACCTTTTGGAAGCTTCAGATCATTTTCTCCAATACTTGGGGTACTACCTGCATCTTCCATGTGCTTGCTCCCAACAAAAGAAGTTTCTAAGCGTACAGTTTGGATTTTAGGAACTCTGAAAACATCCCCAGAAGTGAAGTCCATGCTACTAGAAGGTTCTGTTACTGTACGATTTCTTCTCAAGCCTGATTTACTGTCAGATGATGCCAGTTTGCACACTTTGGGATCACTGCTACTTCTGTGTTTTTTATTAGGCAGGGTAAGTGAATTTAAGATGCGGTTCTTCACAAACTTGCTCGATGCAAAAAAGGGAAAAGGACTACGATTGTTATCCTTTAAAGGTCCAGGTTTGTCATAAAAAGTTTGTTCTGCATCCTCTGTAATGTCTAGAAAAAATGTGCTAGTGGAAGTACTGCCAAACCGGTCATCCTCCATGATGAACATACCTGAAATTCAAGAAGGATTATCACTGCTGAAGGCTAATATTTCTAAAAAAAAGCAGAAATTGCAAAAAACCCCTGAAAAATTACTGAAAATTCACCTACCTGAACCATGCAATTCATAATTCTAAAATAAATACATACAAGCACACATGTAGCATTATGTATACGATGTAATTTTAAAATTAACATCTGTTGTTTCGGAAAACAATTTCCTTCCCTCTGAGTCTTACATTTGTTACATGGAAAAGTTGGCAATTTAACTCTGATGTGGTAAATGCTAATATATAACCATGAAAACAACCTGAAACTGCATTTTTCTTTGTCACCTGTATTAACAAAATTTCCCCCAGACAGCTTTAATTTTACCTTTACAATTAATTTACTTTCTTACATGGTAAGCATGATCTTTCCAAATGAGAGTGCCTAGACTGCTCGCACAAGTGAGTCTTGTGTATACTGTACACTATATAGGCACCTGCCTTAAAAATGTTGGCCTTTAGTCTTTGCAGAATAAAACAAAACCTGCACTAGCAATGATTTAAAGACATATTTTCTCTACAGGGAGACACTACACACTGCATTTAATTTTTACATTCACCCAACCTATGTTCACCTTGTGTGTTCTTAGTAATTATATAATTAGAAAATAATACCTATCATAATCTTAGTAATTTTCTTTGTCTATGGTGGATTTCTGACTTTCAGCAATTTAAGGCTCAAAAGACATCTGTGGGTATATATTAATCCCTATCTCTAAATGGTACTGTAAATTGTCACAATATGCCAGTCAATACAAATAAGGAGTTTCTGCCTTTTATTACTAAGAATGAGTTAATAATTATGTTGCCATTTTGTGCTAGTAAAATTATCTCTGTGTTGTTGTACATTGGGAGAGACACTGGAAGAGTATGAGGCAAGGGACTGGGAGTAGGAGGGTAAAGGAGGGAAGAAATGGAAAGAGATTCTTTTTTTTTTATATATCTAGAAGCAAATGGGGAGGGGGTTGGGAAGCAAAGTTTAAGCAGGAGGGTTTTCTCTCACAGGTGACAGAGATGAGGAGTGGGTGGGGTGGAGTTTTACAGTTATAGGGTTTTACAGTTACAGTTTATTATTGAAAGCCATTTTGAGCTTTCCTGGGTAGAGGAATATAGATCTAAATATTATCATCATCACTACTATTAACAATATTCACATCACCAATAATACACACAATACTATTATTATGTATCCTATGAATATATTTATATAACATGCAATTATTTCTCATTTACAAATTTATAATGGCCCACTATATTTTCTAAAATGTTCTTTTTCCTATCAATATGCAATTCCTCCCCCCTTCTCCTCTCCCAAAAAAGGTAAGTAACAATTATAGGAAAGATTGGTCATGAACAAGCATTTATTTCTAGTGAGAGAAAACAGAAAAACTTCCACTGCTATAAATGTTCCTGGAGAGAAAGCATACAGGCTTTCACACCCTGTACCACCCCTTCTCCCCTGCTCTTTGTGCCGTCTGAAGACCAGGGTGATCACTGTCTAGGAAAGGAATGGGGAGCAGTGGTTGCTTTATTCCTCCAGTTTGGGGTGGGATGGAGTGAAGCAGTGGGAAATGCTTTCCATGCTTCCCTAGACTGCGGACCACCCAACTAGGTAGTGGGGACAGCAAGGGGAAGTGAGAGGGGCCAGGAACTGGGCTTTGGGATAGTCTCTCTCAGCTCAGTTTTTGGCCCCACCACTGCTGCTCTGCCACCACCTGACAGTCCCTGGTTTGGTGAAGAGGTGGGAAGCAGCAGTGCCTGCTCTGCAACAACTGCCCTCCTGGACTAATTTTATAAGGGAGGGAAGCAGCAGGGCAAAAGCCACAGCCTGTTCCCCAAACCAGGTAATCCCTGGTCTGCAGAAGAGGTGGGGAACACTGCCCAACTGCTCTGTTCCCCTCCTCTCCCTCCCCTCCCATACCAGACAGGGAGGGGCGCATACAAGTGTTCATTCTTGTGAGAATTTGTCTCACAAGGAAGATCTTCCAGATTGACACCTGGAAGCTCCTTCTCCCATAGTGGGGCACGCTGTCTCCAGGAGAAACCGAATGAACATTTGTATACTTGTAGTTCTTCTACTAGGGAAGTGGCGATTCTCCCAGTAGAAATATAATGCCTGTATGAGTCCATTGTCAGCACAAGTACTCAATTTAGGAAGATAAGTCTGCACTGCAGCTGCTTTAGTTACTTCTGAAAAACATCAACTTTTTGTGCTTACAGTGACAGTGGTTACATTTTTTACTATGCTTTCCTTTAACATTTAGTACTTTTGGGCTCAACTGAAATATATCATTTGTGGTGTATGTTTCATGAAATTCTGTTTCTGGGCTCAGCTGAAATACATCATTCAAAACCTAGTTTGCCAGTTCCTTGGCTTTTTAGGAATCTTGTAACATGTTGAAGATTTCATTGTTTTAAAGACGCAGTTGTACTACTGTACTAAGTACTAATCTCAGACTGACCTCCAATTAACAGTGCTACAATTGATGATGCATTCTTTAGGGCTATTGAATGATATGCAAATATAGGACATTAAGCCGTATATGTCTTGATTTAAATCCCCACAAAACCTCACAAACCTGAACTGTAGTACATCTATATAATTTAAATCAAGTACATATGTGTAGAAATACATAAAAAGCATTTTCTAAATATTCTTTGCAATCATGTAAAGAGGTGTTTACCACAACACAGTGAATAATAGTTATACTTACTTGAGGGTGCAGATTCACTTTCACTGTTATGCCTAGAACTGGTGGACTCAGAGTTCAAGCTAAGAGTGCTGGGTATAGAAGAGAGTTCATTGCAGAGCTGCTCCATGTCATCAGGGACTACTGGCCAAGGTTGTCTACGACTGTGTCTCACTGCATCCCAGTTGTGATGCTTTAAAATGTCACAACCTTGTTTAGTTTTAGCTATAAGGCCAAGCACGTAGAGACAGGTTCTGCATTTAACAAAAATAAACAGCAGCATCCAGTTTAATCAAACTTATTTATGAGGAATCAAAGTTTCAAAATAATCCAGTAGACATCAGATTATAGCTTTTCTACAAAAAAAACTAGCAACAAAAACTAACCTGAAATAAGCATAATCTTGAATAATGGGAAACAACAATTCGAATAAAGTGCCAGAAGGATAGCTACAAAAACTTTACTACTGCAATATTAACATAGGATTTTTTTAAAAAGCAAGCAGAAAAAGACCAATATTAAAATTCTTACAGACATGTTAGGGCAGTTTTTACATCCTGTAAGTTTTCTGGTTAATAACTAAACAAAAAGAAGCCAAGTGTCTAACAAGTAACATAATATTATAACCTGTAAAGTAGCATTATCAGTAGCTAGTATTTTTCAGACATTGCATATTAGGAGCCTGACTTTCAAGTGCTCATAACTTTGTAAGAATAGAACACTTCAGTCTGAAGAACTGCATGTCAGGAGTCAGCAACCTTCTGTCAGCTCAGGCTGGAGTTTCTGAATGGGCTGTTGCTGTGAGCTGCAAGTCTTTGCCCTGACTTCTCTACGTGGCCAGCTGCCAGATACCTGACCCCTCTGCAACAAAGATGAGCTCAGATGCCTCAAAGCAGCAGGTTCTACTGCAGAAGGTGAGGACAGCACAGCGCAGCTCTGTGGCACCAGTCCCATGCCCGATCAGACCCCTTTGCGGTTGCTACCCCCTGTTCTATCTTGAATATCCACCTCAGTGCAATTTCAGGTTTCAAGTGAAACCGCAAAGCTACGTACAATAAAAGCTGTAAAGGAAGAATCATGTTATTGAGACTATATTCTGCATTCTCTGGAGCAGGGCCTCAAAATTAGACAGGTTGGGCTGATATTATTTATACTTTCTGCTGAAAATTCATCCAAATTAAGCCAAATCATAAGACTTCTAAAAATGCCAAAGAGTAAAAATTCATAGTAGTAGTAGTAATTTAAGAACTAAATATTTTAAACTACCTGTTCAGAAAACCAAAAATAGATTACACCCAATACAATTTTCCTTTACCAATACAATTTTCCATGACACTTAGTGCAAATAAACTAGTAAACTTTTTAAAATAATTCTGAAAAATCCCCCAAACTTTATCAGTGATAATGTTTACTAAATGAGATCCAGTGTAAGCGGCAGAAGAAGAAATCTGGACTAGGACTCTCAGAAAAGAAGAGATTTTACTTTTAAAAGTAAATATACATACCCCCTAATGGACAGAACCTCACAATGCTGTGCAAGTGCCATTATATCAGGAATCACATTCTCCTCTTGAAGCAAATTAAGACCCCAATTTGATGATCCAATATTGCCCTGGAATGAAATTATTTGCCATCAAATATAGTAGCTGCTTATGTCTCCCGTGGCAGGGCTAATAAAACCCCTAATACATTATAAGGTGAAAAGTTCTTTGGCTATGTTTTTATTATAACCTTATTAAGATTTATAAAAGTTTTAGCCAGTCCCCCCAGGATTTCTTATATGTGACTACTAACAGATGCTTTATAACCCTACTTAACACACATGGCTAAGGCCCATTAAATTAGTAATCATCTTAGCCTTGTTCTCAAAAGTGAACTGGATTCACTTCTGAAAGTGTTATGGTGAAGGTATCTTATACCAATGAGTGACACAAATACTCATCACTTCCCATCCCATCAGGGTTAGCTGCTCTCTCATACTCAGTTTTACAACTCCTACATTTAGCTCTAAAACAATCCTAATGCAACTATTCCACATTCTCTTTCATACTGGCTTATCTCCCTATAAATGTATCTACTTCTTCCCTTAGTGGACAGCTCTGACAAGAACTTAGAAAGCAAACCTTAGGGAGAGAGGGTGGGACAACAAATTTGAGTCAAGTGACAAAGCTAAACTCCCAAATCACCAGACTTCTTTTACCTGCTCCTACAGGGCAACTAGCAGATTCTGGTAAAAGTTAAAACTGAGTAACAATGCTCGCATAGCCAGATTTTATTTTTTCTTTTTAAAGGGAAACCATTGTGGGTGTGTGTAGACAAAACAGGGGCCCTAAACTGAAGCGGTGAGTTTTTAAACCCTGCCTCTCTGGCAGTGGGGAGGAGAGGGTGAGCTGCCGACAGGCAGAGTGGTCCCTCTGCGGCGGGGGCGGGGGGGGGGGGGGGTGCTTCCCTCCACAGCAGTGGTGGCCCCCCCAGGCACCCACCTGCAGGCACCCGGTTCGGGCAGTCCCGGGGGGCACTGCAGCTGCAGAGGGAAGCACCAGGCCCCCGCACAGCTCAGGCAGGCAGGCACGCTCTGGGGGGTGAGAGTAGGGGAAGATCAGGTTCACCACCTCTCTTGGGTGGAGCCTGCTTTCCCCAACTGCTACCAGGCTGCCTGCAGGGCCGCGGAGCTGCACAGAGCCCAGTGCTTTGGCTCCACGGTTGTAGGGGCAGCAAACTAAAACTCCTTGGAGAAGTTTTAGTTTGCTGTGCTCCAAGTCATTTAAGGCACATTATGCTGCCGAATTTCCTACTGCGGCTGGAATTAATGTGCAATACACCACCGAGGCGTACAAACACCGACACCATTAAAGTGGTGCAAAAGCATTTAGCCCACTTTAAAGTGTCATGCGCACATCCCCCTCATTTTGTCTACACATGGCCTGTGATACCAAGGCTATAGCAAGAATATCCCCTGATGAACACCCATCCTTGTTGTCATGCTTTTCTTCTACAGTAATTATTATTTTGTAAAAAAGGACCAGTAACAAATTAAAGGAAGAAGGAAACAAAGAAAGGAAAGCAGATACACATATGCAATGCTCAGTATTTTACCAGAAAGACCACCATGGATACAAGAAGGGTTAGTTTTGGAAACCATGCAGACTTAACCTTTTACATGACAAAATTCTTATATACAGATAGATATCCTTGTTACTAACCAAAGCCCAAAGGGCTGCTTTCAGCTGCTTAATTCCTTCCCACTTATCCAACATGGGTGAACGAACAGTGTAACTTAGGTCTGGGACAACACTCTAGAGGAGAACAAAAAAAACCCCGAATTCAGTTCAAAGTGAATGAATTCTGAATAAATATCAAATGATACCAATAAGTGAATAAATATCAAATTGCCCTAGTTTCTTTAATGCATATTATATACCAATTCAAAATCACATGTTCTTAAATAAAATATTGTAGACAATTCCAGAACATTAACCTGGACTGACACTGATAATGAAATAATAAGAAGGTACCCTTTTTCTGATACCCTAAATAGAAGAAAATGATTATTTCAGTGTATAAGGCATGTTTTGGACTGTTTTATTTTTACATCAAGGAAATTATATTTTTGAAGTTTTACAACAGAAGAGGCGAAGGCTTTCCCTATATACTCTTTTCTTTTTCTCTAAACTAACCAATTTACTAAATGCGAGAGATTAATAGTAGGACTCACTTGATTTTGGGATGGCATCTCCACAGACAAGTACTAGCTATTTATACTTCTAAAATTTAACACACATCATCCTGCCATTTGAGTTTCAGACCTCTTCTGTATAAAGACTGTGAACTACATCATATTCTATGTGATGGTTCCGATGATACGAATAGATACTAATTACCTGAGTTGAAGTATCAAATATACTTATTACTGAATTAACTGTTTAATTCAGGTCCCAAAAGATGAGGTTACATATAATAGAGAAATATTCAATTCATTATAACAATTCCTTTGGGTAAGTCAATACATGTCAATATTATTTGAACAAAAACAGATAGACTTTATTTTCTTTTCATTTTCAAGAACAGAACCTAAAATATACAGAAATTTATTTTATCAAAGAGGTTCTGTTCACGATACATGCATAAGGTAAAAGCATAGTGGTAGTAAACACTGTGGACCTCATTCATGTAATATATCTGAAAGCAATTTTTAACTAATTTGTTTGGCCTTTATTTATCCTCATTAGCTCTTCGTATTCATGATCAGCTTTAAAAAACAGATTAGAAGGCACATCTTTCTTTGCATGACAGGAGGTAAAGATTGCTTTTGCAAGACACTGCTTCTTCTGCATATGTCTGATTTGAGAATTTCACAATTTTATGAATTTGGAGAGGGTGACTATTCAAATCAAAACCAAAATTAACCAGTACAATTTTCCCAAAACAGTCACAGTATGATTACAGTATAACTTAATGGTTACAGTATTGTATAAATATAGCACAATTTAAAAGAAATAGCAGTTGTTAAAGCATCTATATTAAATAGCCTTACCTGAACTTCCAACAAATGACAGCCTGTTTTGTGATGCACCAGTTGGCCATAAAGGTGAACTGGCAGGTAGACATGTGGCCGCTGTAATCTAGTAAAAAGAGAAACAGTCTGTTTGCATAATGATTATGGTGTTCTTAAAATCCATCACAACACACTATGTGTATGTATTTATGAGGATATATTAATACTCTTTGGAAGACACTTTACCTTTGGTTGCTCCGACGAACATAATTATCACCATCAATAGGTTTACGGTAAGTGGTAAGTGCTTCATTAAGTTGCTCTTCGATCAATTCAACATATTTTAAATTGTACTCCTTTAAAGGAAAATAGGACAGTCTCTTACAAAGCTGAACCCATTACACTGACAATCATTCACAGAATGCTAGTGCAATTTAAGGCTTCAAAATTAAGGTTGGTTTATACATTAGGTGGGGATACAAACTTATAAAACAAATTTACATTGCATCTTCCCCATGTTAAATAACTTCAGGAATTAAACAAATTTTCTTAAATTTTACAAGTGAATCTGTTATCAGTTTAGAACATAAAATTATAAATACATGTTTGAAGTAAATTAGCACCTTACTTCAAATCAAAATGTGATACCTCCCAACACCAAATACTTGCTCCAAACTTTCTATACAGCTTAAACCGAGATTTTGCATGCAAGTTTTATTTTAACAATTCTGCAACAATTCAAAATTTTGAACAAATTTGGACTAATTGGAAAACTGACTACTGTTTTTCCTGGATGAAAATTTCTTACCTAGGAGGACGAGAATTACGAGCTACCATAGAGAACTCCATGAACTTCCTCTATTAGAATTACTGTGATGATTGTCACCACCCACTGTTCTAAGGAGGTGCCTAAAAACATGCATTCCCATTTAGAGCATAGGGTAATTAATATGATCTTTGCCAGGACTCACCTGAGCTTCAGTTCCACTGAGAACTACAAGATGAGAGAGGTCTTGAAAGGCAACATTTCTTTTAATATTTTTCTAGAGATTTTATGCATCAGCCTCTGTTTATAATTTAGGAAGCCAACCATTTTCTTAAAGAACTCTGTTGTACAACTGTGCACATTTAGGGAAGTGGAGATACTTGCAAAATGGTTTAATTAATGTAATATAAACCCCCTCAAAAACATGCTTTGACTAAATCAAAGAACAACTCGCACAAAAGGACTCTCTCAGACCCAGGGAAATATACTTCCAGCCTAAAACTTTCCCTGTGCAAAATGGAGTTTATTGTTTACCTAGGAGGATTTTTTAAATCTTTGATTTTTCCTCAGCCTGAAGAAGGGTGTGTGCGCCCAAAAGCTTACAAAGACATTTTTTTGCTATTTTTTAGTTACGCTAATAAAAGGTATCACCTCTGAACCAAGAGTTTTGGGTTTCTCTTTTGACTAAATCATGACAGCATGGACAAAGGAGCCAGAAGTCTCAACAGAAGATAATATCTCAATAAGAGTACAGATATGGTCTTAATTACTGAAACAGAATGTCTATCCATTAATACCATACAAGTATGAATGTCCAATATTTTTCATAGTTCTTGATGGCTTTTAAAACTCTATTCACACACACCCGTCTTCAAAAGCAGATTCCATATGTCCACAGTTAGCCTTCTTTGAATTACCTTTTGCCATTTCTCCATTTGTTTTGTTACATAGCCTCTTTCATTTAGATAGGAAAACCCCTTTGGAATGGACAGAAATCTGTAAAGTAACATCAGACACTGAATACTCCAGCTAAATCAAACCATATACATTTAACATCAACATAATAGTTTTTTTCTAAAGTGAAAAGATGCATTTAATATTCACCTTAAAAGGAGAAGTAAACCCTTGTCTCCAAGATGGGAGAGAGCTGGTTTCATTTGGATAAGGGCATGAAGATTGGCCTAAAAGTAGAAAAATTCATACCAGGTCAGAATATAAAAAGACGACAGACAATTATTCAGGTATAAAGGCTCATAAGGAAGGTCTGAACACTAACAAGGAAGACTAAATAGTGATAACTACCCACCAGCCACATGAGATAGCAAATATTTAACAGATACAAAAACAAGATCATAAAAACATCCTCTAGGGCAGGAGTGTCAAACTGGCTTTGTGACCCGGGCTGGATGCAGGTGGGGGTGCCCTCCTGCCATATCCACCTGGGCCCAAGGGCCCTGGATTCTTTAGTAAATTGTACACCTTGAACTTCCAGTGGTCCACCAGTAGTTTAGTGGGCCAGACAGAGCAGCTCTAAGGCCATGTGTCTGATGCCCCTGGTCTAGGATTCATTACTACAGTCCACTAATGTTCCTTACACAAACACCTGCAGCATGGAAATCAAGACATTTTGCAAAGCAAAACTGTTCAAAAAGGATTATTTGATTTTAGATACTTTTAAAAATGAAATAAAATCTGTGTTCCTAAAAAGTTGTAAAGCTATAGTTGTGGGTAAATGATACTTACCTTATCTTCACATGCCTCATCTAGGATATCAAGTGCTTCAGAAGAAATGGTTTTATTTTTATCATGCAGCTGGGTCACCAGTAATTCAATCCCCCAATTACTGAAGAACTCTACGTTGGCTCTTAACAATACTCGTAAATGTTTTGTTGCATACAATCTGCAGCTCTGCAGTGGGGGAGAAAAAGGTCTGCTTTAAAGAAAAGAAGAACGGCCAGCAGTATTTCCTATTTAGAAGCAATGCAACTTGCATCATGAAATACAGCAAGTGCAATTTACATATTATGTATGCACTCAAATTCCAGCCTAACTTTTACACATTTTATCTTACAAAAAGTGGAATAAAACTATTCTGCAGGAATAAGTAATCTGATATCGCAAACCTTAGCTTTGTCATTTGTAACCCACTGCCATGTAGAAATGCACTGTTCATGAAGCACATAAAAAACTGTCAGCATATTAGAAATCTACCTTGTAGTACTAGCCAGCAATATGTAACACATCATCTGGATTCTGCTTAAGGTAATGGTTTGAAAAATGCACTTTTCTGAGGTGAACAAGAAGCTGGTCCTAATATCTAAGGGGAAATCTATTTGATCAAGTTCTGCATATTTTAAGTTATTTTCTTAAGGATCTTGCCTTTATAGATCACTTTTAAAAATACAAGAGTTTGTAGTCCTGACTTCCAAATGAGACAGCTGCAATATTGATATTTTTACTTCTAACTAAAAGTACTAGAGTGAAACAAACAAGACTCTCTTTGGTTCCACTACTGCAATTCAGAACCCAGAACAGCAGGAAAAAACTGACAAATATGAAAGTAATTTCATTTTAATACTACTAAATAAATACAGAAGCTAAAGACAGACTACTTATCTATAAATGGAGGGTACTTCAGCATAGACTCTGAATAGTCACACTCAGAGGATTCTTTGTCTGTTGCAGCTTGACAACTAATATATACCAGAATGGTTTCCTTTCTTTTCTCTCTCTTCCTTCCTACTTCTGTAGGCAAAGTTATTAAAGAGGAAGTGGTACTCTTGCTGCCTGAACTCCCTTCCCTGCAACCCCAGGCCCTTACAGGTAATTAGGATATGTAGGGAGTGTGAATCTGTAGAGTCTGCCTTAATCAACTCTGATTACACATAAGTAACAACTCATTTTGTCAAGCATCCACAACACATTCCCACTCATGGAAAAGGTGGATAAATAACAACACACTTAATGAAGAGAGTGGCAAGTAGTGTCTGAGTATCTGATTTAGATGCTAGATCTAGAGAACGGCATTTGGTAGAAGTATGAACAGAACTCTATGCAACTGCTCTACATACTGAAACTAGTAGAATGAGTCAATCGAAACCCAGCTTTTCTTTCTTTCCCTCTTTTTAAGGACTTATCTACATCCAGAGGATTCTTCTGCTGGCAGCTAGCAACAGTCATAGAGAAGCTGTCAAGAGTCTCTTCCCACACAGCTTCTGGAAGCTCCACTTTATCAACTGTGTGCAGGGTGCGAAATGTACCCTTGAAAGTGGTTAGAGTGACTATTACAGCCAGTAAAGAGCATGAGCTTATCTGTTTGTACCGTCTGCCAGGAGGTGGCAGAAGCAGTCTTTTGCTCTGCGACACGGTATTTTCTGTGCTGAAAAAAAAGACGTTGCTGATGAGGGCAGCTTCAAGTGTGCATGCACACTCCATTTCGCTGGCAAAAGTCTATTAGCAAAATCACAGAATGTAGACCAGATCTAAGAAGCCTGACAGATGGTGGTCTATAGTGTTTAGTCCTGTTCAAGTAATATGCTAAAATGGTCTTTTAGCATCTATCATGTGCAATTTGATTTTTCTACACCCACATGATTTCTGATGTAGGGGAAAGAACATGATTCACCACCTCATAAACATGAAATCTTGAAACCACCTTATGTAAAAACTCTTGAACAAAGTTGTAATACCATTCTGCCTTCATGAAATGGCATATCAGACATATCAAAACATACCGGGAGCAAACACCAGTTACTGTGGTGTGCCAATATAGCCCACAGGTGAACCTTATTAATGACAACATGAGAAAGATGACAAGATCAGAAAGATTAAGGTTTGAGCCAAAACAGACAGAACCGGAATCATTACTACTTGTCCATCTCTTTTGTGAATGGATTACTTCTTCGAATTCAAAGTACAAAATATTTTGGTTTAAGATGACTACTGCTTCAAAACTGAAAATCCTATTACATAAATAATGCTGGGAAGACCCTGGCCCATTTATCAGAAATGCAAGTCCACTATGGATCCTCTATTGCTTCCCATCCGCAAACATAACTCTGACATTTCATATTGTGCTTGGAAGCAAATAGGTCTATGTCGATACTATGGAGATATAATTCAGCACTTATGTCTTCAGAGTCTGCTTACATATCGGACACCTCTGCTAAACTGACTTCTCAGGATGTTGCTCAATAGATGATATTTTGTTTTGTGTGCAGCAATCCTGAAAAGCCACTATCTGCTCATATAACTGAAATGAACGAGCATCTCTCCTTGCTCAGACTGTGCATAGAAGTTGCCATTTTCCATAACAACCAGAACAAACCTATAATTAACGAGGCAAAAGGACTTTATAGGTTGATAGTTCTCAATTCCAGAAAGCTGATATGCATGCCCTTCTCTGAAGGTGTCCACTACTCTTGTACTGGCATTCAAAAGAGCTTCTATAACCTATGCTGGATGCAGTGATAACACAGGAGGATTGCAGGGTACTCCCTTCATGATGCTGAGATACTGAGCAAACCATCTCAGTATCGTCACCTGAGGCAGCACCAATCTTTAAAGCATGCTGTCTCTACTAAGTTTCTAAATGTCACTAGCTAATATTATAAAGTCCTTATTTGTAGGCAAACATAAAATAGTATATACATAGTCAAGGCTTTGAAACCTATTAATTTAGAAGAAAATCTACGTTAGCAATTAATGAAGAAGAATACAAATGGCAATTTTTACAGCTCCCTCTCTCTTCTGGCACAGCTGACTTGCCTAAACATACATCCAAAGGAGTTCTTATTGAGAGGTTGTTTTCTGTACCTATTAAAGAGACTTCATACAAATTATTCCAAGATCTAGATTAATAGTGAGGGAACACATCTGCATTACAACTATTTTCTAAGGACACCTTGATTAATCATTCTAAATAAGGGTAAACAATGATCCTCTCTCTTGATATGTGCGGCCATCCATTTATTAATAGACAATTAAGAACAAACTCCCAGTGCAGTAGAAAGTCCACCTTTTATTGGAAATGGGTCTTTCTACATACAAAACAGCTATGTTTGATGCGATGGTTATAGAGCAAGATGGTAGGGTAGATACACACCTTTCTAGACTAACCGAATAAGATGCATGTAAAGGGCACAAGCTTTCATGGACCCAAGTTCACTTTGTTATATGCTATGAAAGAACATGCAGAAAGAGTATAAGGAGAAAGAAATCAGAATATTGAGTACATGGAATCAAAACATCCTCATCAATTAATTCAATCTTCTGAAAACTAGTATGAGAAAGAAGAAAAAGGATCTTAAGTCTCTCTCTTTCTTCCTGAATTAGAAAGTACCTTCAGTAAAATCTCTTCTCTCTGTACATTTTGGAACTTTTTCCATTTTGGAACCCCTTTCATAAAAGAGAGAAACTCTGGTGTCAACATATCACAATATAGGCCCTTCAAAAAGAGAAGTGGGATGGTGAAGAAGAGGGGGATTTGAATTATGTAGCAAATCTGTCAAAGCCTGGAGAGAATCATCTCTCACAAAGTTACCAATTTCCAACTGAGGTAAAAACTGGCAAAAGTCATCTTCAAACATGGTATAGACTAGGGCTGATATATACTGGAATGTAGCTCATCTCCTGCCATTGTGCCTGAAAAGTCCTACACAGCTGAAGAGGATTTTGATGGTGGCAATTACATCTCTGATAATAGGAAGGGAATACAGGAGCACACCCACCATCTCTAGTATTTAAGCAGAGGGACTTGCAAACTACTTCTTGAACTATCCCCAAATATCTGGCTGTACCTCATTCTTGTTAATACCTTATCCATCTTGGAACTGACTGCATCTTCACCTTCAAATGGAAAAATCTTTGCTATACATTCTTGTCTTTCAAGGGAGACCTGACATTTTTGACCGGATACAGAATCTCAAAAATAACTGCACAGACAATTATTTAGCTTTATCAAAGTGTCTGAAGAATTAAGACTCAACTTTTGCTTTTCAGTGTTTTACCATTCCATGAAAAGAGCATTCTCTAGTCTCTGTCAGAATGTTTCAGATAATCAGAGTAAAATATTTCTTCCTCAGAGATGGTGCTAACAGAAAATCATCATCACTTGGTGTTTATTACTTTTAAACAAATGTTACTAAGCATATTTCTCTTAAACACATCAACCTGTTTGCCTTTTTTTAGTAACTGGCATCGAATGATCTTGCTCTCTAGATCTAGGAAGCACAGCTTCTACCATAAATGGCATGGAGCTGCACTTACAAGAAACACAAAAAAACCATCCTGAATGAGCTGATAATACTTATCAGCCTTTTTTTACATGAGTTGAAGGGAAGCAGGCATAAACCAAAGCAGCAACAAGGGAGAGGAGAGGAGCTGGAGAGTGCGTGTGTGCGCGTTACCAGAGGCAGGCAGGCATATAAACTGCCCGGGAAAACTGGGGGAGAAAGACTCCAAAGCAGGTCAGGACTGTAGGCTGCATTTTCTCAAGGAGGGAGACTACTGCTTTTGTGAAGCAGATGGCTTGTGTTTTTGGAGGGGTTTTTTTGGTTTGGTTTAGATTTGTGAACCAGACAACTGGGTTACAGCTATAGGTGGGGAGGAGCCTGCAGACAGGGGTGTCAGGGTGTTCCCCCTTGTGGGCTAAGGTTTTTATCTGTGGACCAATGTGGGTGCAGTCAGAGAGAAAAAGGGGCCCAGGCTTTGACAGCTGGAGCCCTGACAAGCCCTCAGAAACCCACAAGGACAACTCTATGAAAGGGGAGCTCTTTATGGGTGCAGGTGGGCAAAAGGACTTGGGTAGGGTGACTGGTCCAACTGAGCAGCCCTGGCTACCTGTGGAGCTGCTACTGGGCCTAAGGCTCCTTCACTGCCCACAACTACAAACAATTTCAAAGTTGTGGAGGCCTCCATACAGCGAGGCTAGAAGAACGTAGCTGCCAAAGAGCTGGCCCTACCAGTGTTACAGTCACACAAATGAGAAACTCAACTAATTTTTCCTTGGACAAAGAAGCAGTAAAATCCTAATCTTTTCCTACCATCTGTGTCCCAGAGGATTATTCATACAAGTGAAAACTAATAAAACTCTAATATTTCCTTATCTGAGGTTGCTAGATTCAGGAGTCAATGCAACAGAGATGAAATCTGAACAAAGCATCTAGGAAGTTTTTGCCATACGCTGATATCTGACTGGCAGAAGTGAGTGGATTTGCAGGTACCACATCCCGTCTCACAGCAAGACTGTAACTCTTAGGTTCAGATTTAGTTTCAGGACTGGTAAGTTGGACTGTGAAGCAGTTGTCTCTTGGCTCTTGCCACCAAGTTCTTCTGGTCATTAGCCACTTAAATGACATTAGAACATCTGGATCCAACAAACCGCTCTCTTAAAAGTCACTTTAGGTATACAGGCTGATAGCCAACGTACAGTCTCCTCTCAAGCTTCAGATATAATGATCCAGGAAATGTGTGAAGCTATAATCATTTTAGAATCAAGGAAAATGGATTAACTTTGCAAAGACTTGGGCTCTTAATGCTGCAATGTATTTAGGAGCTGATATTAGGCTACAGTATATCATGGACTCATGTGACGGGTCAGATACAATGCCTCCTGATGCAGAATTGTCAACCCTGTATTGACACCCCTACACCACCATGGAAATAAAAAGTAGAGTAGAGACCACCTATAGGGAAGGCAACTTCCTTCTAGATATACTAACTATCTGGCAGGAAATTCAAATATGGGAAAACTGATAGAAGACAGCAGGATGCTTGCAGCCTAAATTTCAGTCTACCACTCAAAAAACAAAACAAAAAAATTCAACTACATTCTAACTATATATACTAATTAAACCTATAATGAGATTTCTACACCCGTATCTAAGCAAAACACTGAAAAGAATATGGGACTCCCTTGGCGCAGTTCCTCATTTTTCAGCTAACTGTGGCTGGAAGGAATGGAGGCAACTGAGATAACCTTCTTTTAGTAGTGTTGTTACCCTGAGAAGAGGTTTAGGAGAGATGCATGAACACTCCAACGGACCGTGCGCATTATGGTTCCACTATCCAAGCTGCACCAATCATTGTATCCGAAGTGTAGAAATATGAGGTTATATTGAACGTAAGCCAGAAGACAACTCATCAAGTGTGTTGATTCCTCACCCAGGATTTAAAAAAGAAAAGACCCC